GCCTTCTCTCCACCCCACAATTAACTAGGTTGAATGCTGATAGCCTCCCCTTTGTTTCCCCGAGGTGGCGCTCAAGCTGGTGGTCTCTCCCTGGCCCGCGGATTTGGGCCCATTATTTGTGCGTGCTCACTAGCTGTTTGTCGAAACTCACTTTTACTGCCTTTGGGAGTGCACACAGGGAGCTGGTCACAGTGTGGGAGTGTGTGGGGGTGAGGTGCATGGAGTGCTGGGGGTGCCAGTGGGCCAGTTGGGGGAATCTGCGAGCAAGGTGTCCCTAGTGGCTCATGGGCAGGCTTTTTTTTTTTTTTTTTTAAAGATTTTATTTATTTATTTGAGAGAGAGAGAATGAGAGATAGAGAGCACCAGAGGGAAGAGGGTCAGAGGGAGAAGCAGACTCCCCGCTGAGCAGGGAGCCCCACGTGGGACTCGATCCCGGGACTCCAGGATCACGACCTGAGCCGAAGGCAGTCGCCTAACCAACTGTGCCACCCAGGCGCTCTGGGCAGGCTTTTTGATGGGAGTGTTGGGGTTCCTTTTTTGCCCCTGAGAGTTCTATTTGCTGCTCTCCTAGCTCTTCCTGCCCCCAGTACTCATGACCCATACTCTGTAAGAGGCTAGAGAGACACAGCTATCTTTGGCAGCATCTCACATAGCTGGGGAGGTCAGGTGCTCACTCACATGCCTCGCTTTCCCCTGCGGGAGAAACCCTGGGCTGAGGAGCTCGCTCTTGACGCTAAGGTGTAGGGCCCTGGGGGAGGGGTGATATGGGTGAAGTCACACACTCTTCCTCTTACCCTCTCCAGTGCACCCAAACTCACATTTTTTTTTGTTCTAACGATGCGCTGGAATTTGTCTGCTGGAAACCTGGACCCCCCCAAAAGCTCTTTCCTTTGTGGGGGGTATTGTCTAAGATGGTGTTTTCCAGGGGTTCCCAGACCATGGCCAAGAGGGGGTGGAGCCACTTCATAGGCCACGGCAAGCTTCACAGCTGGGACCAAAGTCTGTGTGCCTATTACCGGACACACGGGTGGGCGAAACTCTGCCTGGGTTCCTTGGTGTGTGGGGCTGGGTCCCACAGTTCCCAGAAAGGCACTCTGTCTGTGGATGGATGCTGAACTGCTGTTGAGTGGGGGGACGTGGCGAGGGGTATCTTATTCAGCCACGATGCTGACATCCCCACAAAGTGTTTCAGGGAACTGCATTGAGCAAAGTACCACCTCCAGGGGACTGGGCAGTTTAAAGTGAAAAAAGGCCTCTGGGCTCCCAATTTGCTAAGGTCAGTAAGAGTTTAAGAGTTGCTCAAAGGGCATATTTTTCAGAGTGAGCAAGAGCTGCTGGAAAAGGAGGGATCTCCAGGAGGGCAGAGGAAGAGTCGTGCTGGGGTACAGCCTGGGGAATGTTCCCAGCAGGCGGAACTCAACCTCATCAGGGAGTACTCTCTTTTCCTATGGTCCTGTGAACATTCTCCCTATGGATGTAGGAATTGCTGTGCACCCATTCTTCCTTTTTCCTTTTCTTCTAAAGATCTATTTATTTATTTATTTTAGAGAGAGAGCGTGTGTGTGCACAGGCTGGAGGGGCAGAGGGAGAGGGAGAGAGAATCCCAAGCAGACTCCATGCTGAGTGTGGAGTCCAACACGGGGCTCGATCCTATCACCCCGAGATCACAACCTGAGCCGAAACCCAGAGTTGGACGCCTAACCGACTGTGCCACCCAGGGACCCCCATTCTTTTCCTTTTCAAATGGAAGTATTCGCTGTGGTGGTCCTTTCCCCTTTGACCAGTGTCTGCTGTGTGGGGGGCAGATAATTGATATTTTTAGTTTATCCATCCGTGGATCAAGAGGAACTGCACCTGAGGAGCCGCATTCAACCTAGTATAGATTATGAGACCCTGCACTTTGAGCCTGGTACTGGGATTGGGTGAGACTTCGGGGGATCTTGGGAGGAAGTGAGGTTTTTTTTTTTTGGTGGAGAAATGTTAATAATTGGGGCCAAAGGATGGACTGTAGTAGATCTGACCACAAAAATGGCCTCAATTCTCCACCCCTCCCTTTACCCAGGCCCTTTGTAATGCAACTTTGATGCTCCTATCACCAAGAGGGGGTTTATTTCCCCCGCCTTTGGATCTTGTTGCCCTTGTGTCTTGCGTTGGCCAATAGGATGTGTCAGAAGCAACAGTACACTGGTTCTACACCTGGACCTCACAAGGCCTGTGGGTTTTTTCCTGACTGTGCCTACCATGTAGGTAAGCCCCAGTACCCTCCTGGAGGATGACATGGAGTGGAGACAAGTTGTCCCAGGCCATCCTAGACTGGCTAGTTCTCTTCCAACCAGGTGGCAGGCCACAGACACATGAGCAAAGACAGCCAACTAAGACCAGCCCAAATGGCCAAGCCACAGAATTGTGAGCTGAGTAAATTATTACTGTTTTAGGCTACACAATTTGTTGTTATATAGTATTTGTTATGTATTTATTATGTATTACTATGACAACAGAAAATGGATACAGTTACTAAAACAGTTACTAACTACAGCTACTATCAACACAGCGGACTCCTTTGAGAAAATCACCAAGGGAAATGGGACAAAACCTAAGGGCTCTCCAATTTTATCCAAGCTGTAAACGATGAATATGCCCTCATCATTTTGTAAATTTCAGAGAGGTAAAAACTTGGTTACAACTTTAGTAGCTACGTTAGCAAATTAAAAAAAAACCCAAATTATACAGAACTGAAATTTGAGTTGTGGGTTTGGGGTAATATACTAAGAACATTAGATAGTAAAATATCAACACATCATATTAATGCTGACATAGTTTACACATATATATAAGAGTAATGACAGGTAAAGAGGCCTCAGACAACATGTTCGTGGACCTGCGTTAACATCTGATAGCCCACACAAGATGAACTGAAGTAGCACCAGAGGGGCCACAAAAGGGAAAATTGTGAAAATAAAAATAAGCTTAACACCATTTCAATTCAGACTGGATTAAAATTACAAAGAAAAGGCTTGGGTTATCCTGGACTTTGCTGAGAAAAAGATCTTTAGGCAAATAAATCTTGTTGGCACAAGTCCTATGAGAATTCAGAGCGTGAGGCACATGGCTCATGACCTCAAAAAGATCAGAATGACTAGGCTGCGTTTACGTCTGATGATCAAGCACAATTCTTTAAGTTTTCATTTATGCATGCTCCGCATCTTGTGATATAGTGCATGAGTTCCCTTAAATCTGTTATTCAGTCTCCACAGTTTTTCAAAAATTGTACTTACTTCTCTAGGTTGTAACTTATAACACGAAGGCAAACTTCAAGGTCAGTTCAAATAGGTATATTATAGTTAATTTTATCTGTTAGAATGTGTGTCACGGAGTATTTTCTAAGATGTAAATGACGACTGTAAAGGAAGTTGAATTTGTTCACGAGCCTAATGATGACTGGCCCCTGCCTAGGATCTCTGTGGTCTTAGTATTACTATCCTGCCCAGGATAGAAACCGTAAACTCACTGGCATGCCTGAAAAACACCCCAGACCATGCATATGGACTTCCACTGTGCCAGCTAGATTAGTCTAATAGAGACGTTCGCAGATTCATTTTCAGAAACCTTGGGAAGTCTCCTGCTTCCACTGTGGTACTGCCCAGCAGCAACCCCTCTGTGGATACAGCAGCCGCCTTTGATTTTGGGTATAAATTCATCCTTAGGTCATACAGGAGGTGGGGTCAGGCCCAGCATTCTCCAAACTTCCTACGCCTCCTGCTGATCATCATTCCTTCACTCTTCCGTAACAGTAGCTGCTCCTTTAAGACAGTTATCCCCGTTCCATTCATGTACTTAGCAAATATTGATTGAGCACTGACTTCTTGCCAGGTATTGTGCTGCAATGGGATGACCATGAGCTGCAAAATTAGGCATTTGTAGTCTGGAGAGACATTAAACAAATAAACATGAATATAAACAATGGAAAGGCAGGGAAAGCTTCCCTGACCGATGATGCCACTGTAATGAAATTGAATGACTGGAATTAACTAGTTACAATAAATAGATGAGGTGCCAGGGAGAGCATTTCAGGCAGAAAGAATGGCATGTGCTAAGGCCCTGGGGTGAGTGCATTGTGCCAGGGAATGGAAGGTTAGTTCTGGGTACAGGACAGAGAATGAAAGGGCCTGCTGGGGAAAGAGGCTGCGGAGTAGATGGGAGCCAGACCACAGGCAGTTCGCTAGAGCATGGTTAGGACTTGCGTCTTTGCCATGAAAGCAACGAGAAGCCACCTGTTGGTTTTAAGCAGGGGGATGCAATGATCAGATTTGTGTTCTGCAAGGATCTCTCTGGCTTCGGTGTGGCAAGCAGATCTGTGGGGGACAAGGGCAGCTGCGGGGATCAGCAAAGCTGCGGGACTGCTGTGGTTTGGATGGTGGCGGAGGCCACGGAGAAGGAGAGAAGGGGCGTGCAGCAGAGGGATTTAAGTGACTAGATGAACAGGATGGGGTGGGTGGGCGGCGTGTCTTGAGAAGTCATCTTGTTCGAACCCCATGAACAAAAGAACACGGGCAAAGAGCTATCCCTGCGGGTGGGAGAGACTTGGGGCGCCTGGGGCGGACCTCCGAGGGCAAGCTGCGGAGGCTCCCTTCCAGCGCCTGAGCTCTGAGCCACCCCGGACAGGTGCAGGGTCAACCCCACCCACCTCTTGCAGAAACGCTAAGAGCCCAGCAGGTACCAGCAGGACCACGTCGCCCAGCTGCAGCGGAGAAAGATCCAGAAGCGGCCCTGCCCAGTGTGGAGGAAAAGAGCAATGCTCAGCATGCGGTCCCACGTGGGCGAGTATTCCCACCGCACTAAACCGGCCACCCACGGAGAAGACGTCACCAAGAGGGCGAAGGTGCAAAGCACCTTCTGCGCATGTCCGGGGCCTCGGCCACCGTGGGGGCGGGCCGAGTGGCGTCACCTCGCGGCGCCTGCGCGCGACGTCACCGTGCGGCGCCGCCAGGAAGAGGGGCTCGGCGGTGCACGTGGTGGGAGGCGCGGCGGGCGGGGGCATGGCGGGTGCCGCGGGGCTGGCGCTGTGCGGGCAGGCGCTGGTGGTGCGGGGCGGCAGTCGGTTCCTGGCCACCTCCACTGCGAGCAGGTGAGGGGTCTGGGCCTGCAGCGGGAAGCCCAGGCTGCGGGCGCGCGTCGGGGCCTGGAGAAACAGATTCCCTCGCGCCGCCAGGGCGGAGCCCGCCCCGGGGAGACCCCCCCCCCCCGCCCGCCCCCCCCGCCGCCCTCTCCTCCTCGGCCGGGCCGCGTGCCCGCGCCTTCTCTCAAGACCCGACCCCGGCGCGCTCCTCGCCGGCGCCCGCGGGTCCCGCGTGCTCGGCCCGGTGGGTGCCGGGAGCTTCGGGACGGTCACGTGGGGAGACGCGGGCCAGGCCCCGGCCACCGCGCGGTCTCTGGGTCGGCGGCTACCCCCTCGGGGGCGCGGGGAGGAAGGCGGCCCCTGCCCTCGGGGAACGGGTTGGGCCTGAGTCCCGGGCGCACTTCCTCTCCGGGCGTGGCGCCTGCCCCCCCCCCCCCCCCCCCCCCCCCCCCCCCCCCCCGCCCTTGGGGTTACCCCCCCCCCCCCCCCCCCGTGCCCCTGCACAGGGTTCTCCTTTAGCTTTCCCCGGTTTCATGTTCTTTCTCACACAGCACTCTGGATTTTTAACAATAAGTGTTGATCGAATCGTCTTGGCCCATGGTCAGTTTCGGCCCCTTACTCCTTTCCCGGGTAGTTTGGATTCATACTTGAAACGGACCATGTGTCTGTCAAATGTAAATACACTCTCTGCTCTTTGCTCAAAGCTGGCTTTCAGAAATCCAACTCAGTGTTAGATTTAGTTTTCACAAAACATTTACTCACAAACTTGTATATTCCAGATTATTTTTAGAGGCTCATGGTATCTAACGCATGCCACTGGGAGACATGGGTTTATTAGACTTGATAATACATTTGATACAGATCGAATGTAATAAATCCATCATTTTTTTAAGATTCATTTTTATTTATTTGAGAGAGAGAGAGAGCATGAGCAGGGAGGAGAGGGAGAAGCAGACCCGCCGCTGAGCAAAGAGCCCCACTCAGGACTCCATCCCAGGATCCTGGGATCATGACCTGAGCTGAAGGCAGATGCTTCACCGACCGAGCCGCCCAGGTGCCCCCATCATTTTTTTTTTTTTTTAATATCATTCTCCTGTGTGCCTCTTGAGGAAATAGAATGGTGGTGGCAAAGTTTCTGACTCAGAACTACTCATTCCAACACCACAGTGTTCCTTGGGAAAAGAGTCTGAGCGCAGTTATTTTAAAGGCTAGGAGTTTGTACAAGATATCTGGTCTCTGCCAAGCACTGGAAGGGAGAAGATGGGCATAAACTGCAGAGAGCTTAGGGTCTGACTCCAGTACTGGCAGGTGCTTGGCAGCCATGGGAGCTTTCTTGGGTAGTTGAGACATTTTTAAATGGTGGCAGTTTTAAATTGGGATGCAGGAGCCTCACCAAAAAACATCAGAACATAATTTCTTCTTCTTTTTTTTTTAAAGATTTCATTTATTTATTTGACAGAGAGAGACATAGCGAGAGCAGGAACACAAGCAGGGGGAGTGGGAGAGGGAGAAGCAGGCTTCCCGCTGAGCAGGGAGCCCGATGCGGGGCTCGATCCCAGGACCCTGGAATCATGACCTGAGCCGAAGGCCGACGCTTAACGACTGAGCCACCCAGGCGCCCAGAACATCATTTCTTCTAACATAACCATCTTGCGTTGATTTTCTTGGGAGTAAAACATTATGTATTACTTCCTATTGAGTTTTTCTCATTTGTTTTACTTAACAGATTATCTGGTATGGAACCATGCCCGTTGTGTGTGGCAAATCTAAAAAAGATTAGGCAACTAAAGTTCCTTAGCCTTTCTTTGAAGTACTGTACCCAGACAATTTCTTGTCATGGATAAAACCCTTAATTTATTGAGTATGAGCATATTTGTGCTCCAGGAAAAAAAACCTCACATTTTTATTCATGAAGTGCGCCTTTTAAAATCTTTCTGTTTTTCCTTAGTGATGATGACGTCCTCTTCACGTATGATTGCAGCACTGCAGAAAAGAAGTTGCAAGAGAATAAAGGGTGAGATGATGGGGCAACCTCTTCAGGCCTGATCATGGTTGGACTAAGTGGGCCAGGGTAGCCTAAGAAGTAAATTGTTGTGTCATCAAGTAAGTTGCTTCTGCACCGAATTCTTCGTTTCTATTTATACTGTCCTGCGGATGAACCAGGACATCAGCAAAGAAACGTGGAACTAACTTTAAATTTGGCGTTAAGAATAGTAGGATTTTTCTGAATAATTCTAGTTTCTGTCAGTAACTAACTCTTGTGGGCATCTTGAAATAATGCAGTGTAACTTTAAATGCGTTGAAGTTAGCTTTAGTTAATTGAAAGATAAGGAAAGAGTGTGATAATTTTGTATGGTGCCTTTTTCTAGTAGAATTGGTCTTATGGTTCAGTTTTTTTAAATATGATTTAATCCTTGGGACGCCTGGGTGGCTCAGTCGATAAGCGTCTGCCTTCGGCTCAGGTCATGATCCCGGGGTCCTCGGATCGAGTCCCCCCCCCCCCCCCCCCGGAGGGGGGGGCGCTTGTGATCTCTGAGGGTCTTTCTGGCTCAGCTCTTTGGATTCTGGTGTGTGTGCTGAGAGATTTTTCTGTTCAGTTAGATTTATTCCTTAAAAATTACAGCTGTTTTGAACCTCTCCTTGTCTGCTTAATATGCGTTTGTATTCTGGCTACATGAACCTCATGCCATTCTCGGTCTTTGCTCATGTTGTAAATGAACAAGGCCAACCTGGAGGAATGCAGCCTTGTTGACTCGGGTGCTCCCTAATCGTCCTTGTGCTTTCTTTCTCAGGGAGGACGGGCAACCCGTGGATAAGGGGAGTGACATGATCCTGGCATCCACCTTCTCCAAGTCTGGCAGCTATTTTGCTTTAACTGATGACAGTAAGCGTCTGATTCTTTTCCGTACAAAACCATGGCAATGTCTGAGTGTCAGGTATGAAATGCTAACGTTGAATAATTACCATGTTGAACGCACAGCTTACACTTGCATGCCCGCAGCAGTGACAGTGATGTAGTGAACGAGCAACTAACACGTAGTCTCAGCCATGTGCCACGCACTGTTGTCAGTGCCTTACATGTGTTAACTGACTAAACCCTTGAAACAACCCTGTGTAAGGGGGCGGGGGTGTTGTTCTCACCCACATCCCTGGTGGGAGTCTGGAAGCTGATCCCGATTGGTCACCTCAGAGGGCAGAGCTGGCCCCTGCCCCTGGTCACTCTGGCTCCAGAGTCGGTGCCCTTGGCCACTATGCCACCCTGCTTTCCAGTGTTCCTCCAGCCTCGTGCTGGCAGAAATGAAGAAAATCAGCAGGCTTAGGAGAGGAGGTGGGTGATGCTGATACTAGGCCCTGGGCAGGTATAGATTTGTCTTACTCGGACAGTGTCCTGATAGTAAGTTCTTTATTTCCTCAAGCGGGTGAGGGCTGGAATTACGATGTCTGTGACCGGGATGGAAACACCCACATGGAGCAGAGTCAGCCTTCCCCTCATCCTTGCGTCCCTGAGGCTGCACGGCTTAACTGTCCCTAGAGAGTGAGAGAGAAGTACATGCAGGTTATAATGTTGATGTCTAACTACCTAAGAACCAAGGTTAAGGATTTCACTTTGTAGCTGGCTCACACCTGTATCGGGGAGAGGTATGCTTTTTGGATTCCTCTTGCATCTTATTTTCTAAGAGAAGAGTAAAAAGGCAAATTGCAGATGGCAGTCTATATTAGTATGTGCACCCCGCTAAGGGGTAGCACTTCATCCTGAACTTGGGACAAGGGGACACCACACAGCCTGCCAACAGGCCCCTGCATCCTGTGGTGGAGCTTGCACCTTGACTGAAGGACGAGCGCCCAGGGCTCGTGGCGGGGCTCTGGCCGTTCTCCGAGGGCTCCTGGCATTGTGCAGGATCTGGAAGGAGGAATCTAGACTTCTCTGGACTGTCAGCGCGTCCCTGTGGCTGTCAGGCTATCGGGGAATGCAGGGCAAGGCCTCTGGAGTGTAAGGCTCAGGATGGGTGTTCAGGCACAGAGCCCTGTGTGTATATGTCTGGTTCCTTCTGCATTGTGGTCTGTGGGTGTCTGAGGGGAAGATGCTGTGTTTTTGTTTGTTTTGTCTTTTGAAGGTGGCGTGTTGGCGATTGTCTTCACGTAGAGATCTAGGAACACTCAGGGTGGGCAGTTACACTTCAGCAAACAGTGGCTGGCCCTTGCATTTTTTTCCCTGTTTAATTGTATTTTTCGTCTTGGTTTTTACATTGATACCAGCAGAATAGCTTTGTGTCGGAAACCTCTGCGTTAGGTGTGCAGGGCCTCGTGTTGCCTGTGGGAGGTACGTTGCGCGTGTAGATGTTGCTGGCAGGACCCTGGATCACTCCCATCCCGTCTGTGTTAAGCCACTGAATGAAGGGGTTGGGCTGGATCACGTCACAGGTCTAGGGGCTGCCTTTCTCACATTGCCTTGTCCTGTGGATATATGCTGACCTCAACGTAAGATGCGCTGCTGCCTGGTCCAGTGGCCTTTAACGCTTGGCGGGAGGCACAGACAGATGGACCCCTTCCTCAGAAAGACACCCATCCTCCACGCATCTGATGTTCCGTTCAGTGTGGGGGTGTCCTGGGCTCCCGATATCCACATTTGACCAGGAGTTGCTCACAGCTCGGAGCTCCCCAGTGGCTTTAATGCTTCATCATGGAGGGTTTTAAGGAATAGCCCAGATGGAAATAGTGCGTAGCAATGATTGGTTTCAAGGTTTCAGTTTACAGTGACAGAGGCCCAGAACCAAGGCTAGGTTTTCTGAACTAAAAGTAGGACACTTGGGGTGACAATGATATTTTCTTTTGTGATGTGTGCGTTTATTAGTGAGAAATCTTACATAGGAAATCACACCAGTTCAGAAAATGCCTGTATTGAAATAATACACGTATGTGGAAAGACAGAGCCCCAGGAAATGAGATTGTTCTGCCCAAAGCTGCCTGGCTGCTGGAGGTGTGTGGTGTCGGGGAGCTTGTTATCCTCGGTGCTCTGCAGGGCCTGGTGGCCCATAGGCCCCTATGCACTGAGTTTGTTGAACAAGTGTGGCTCGTTGGAGGGGGGCTTGGGTGGGGGATTTTAGGGCTCAGCTACCTGACCAGCAGTGCGCTGCTTGGTGGTGGCAGAGGGGAGAGGGTCAGGCTGGCCCTGGGAGGCATGAGGATGGGAACGCTGGGCTGTGAACCCCGTGACTCTGGGGGGGGACGGGGGAGTGCAGATCCCGAAGAATGGTGAGGCCCACGCCTTCTGCTGGGGCGAAGTGGCCAGCCCAACTACTGTCCGGTCTCATGACCTGCCCGCCCACGTCTGTGACCTGACCCCTCAGACCCTCACCCCCACCTGCTCTGTTCAGCCAGGCAGCGTCCTAGAATCCTTGCCAGGACTGACTTGGCCCGAGAAGATTAAAGTTCCCCCACTGGCAGAAGACAAAGGGACAAGATTCTGGACTGGGCTGGGGCTGGGGGCGGGGGTGCCCGTGTGGGTCCACGCCCGATACTCGTGCGGGACTGGCCCAGGCCACTGTCTGGACTGGTGGCCACGTGGCGTGTGAGGGCCCATCTGAACACATGGTGGCATTTCAGGGACCGCGTGCTCGGAGAGTGGGGTAGTCTTGGCTGCAGCCCTGTGCTCTTCTGTTGTGTTCTCCAGGTTTATGTCCCTCCTGGTCGTCTTGTCCGCTGTCCACGGCTCAGGTATGCGCAGGAGGAGCTTCGGCCGCTGCGGGCGGCGGAGTCCTGGGTCGCGGCTGCCGGCCCTCAGCCCTGCGTTTTCTGTCCTTCTGCCCCTCTGCTCCCGAGAACCCGGGAGGTCTTTGTGCGGTCCTCGTGTTGGAGATGTGGCTTCTTCAAGCTCCAGTTTCTATTTACTGTGACGTGGGGGGGCCCCCAGCTGCAGGGGGCCGGGCGCCGTGTGCACAGACACTGACTGGCTCTTGTTGGAAAGTGAGTCCCCTTCTGCCCCCTCTGGTGACAGAGGAGGGCGAGGAGAGCCACAGAGTCAGGTAACGCAGACAAGCCTGGGGTTCGTGTGTGAAGCAGGGTCACGCATGGTATCTAGCGTGGGATGAAAAGTGCAGGGTCTTGCCTTGCGGAAAGCGCGTTCTGCTGTAGAGATGCCGGTAGCAAGGAGGTGAACCGTGAGAGCACCAGCGGCGGGAAGCTGCGTGGGCCCTGCTCCCCACCAGTAGTGAGACCCCGGAGGAGTAGGTGTGTGTGTGGCGGGAGCTGTAACTGTTTCTTAGGCCGGCGTGGTATGGAGCCAGCTGGCAGATGTGGCAGATCTTGTGAATCTGGACCGAGGGTTTGAATTCAGGAGTGTGGTAACTGTCACGTGGCCGGAGCTGGGACGCAGACGTCCCCAGCAGTGCATGCTGTTCGCAGCGGCTCGCCCTCCTCCGGAGTCGTCCCAGGGGAAGGGACGGCGAGTGCAGCTCCTGCCGACAGGTGTGTCGCCCCATCCTCAGGGGTGTTGTGCATGAGCAGCACGTGGGACTCCCGCTCGGCAGGGCCCCCCCCACCCCCCCTCCCCGGGCTGGGGCGTGGACTCTGCAGTCGTGGACGGGAAGAAGCTGCCCGGGTAGGAGGGCCCTACGTGGTGAGTGTGCTTCTGGTTCTGATCAGAGCACACTGGGTGTTTACGAAGCTGGCCATTTTCTTCCCCAGAATGCCCAGTAGAGGTGCCGGGGTCAAGAGGCAGTTCTCCCAACATTTTATCATGACAGTTTTCAAACATACAACAGATTTGAGAAGATGTCATACTGGACACCTAGATGTCCACCACCCGGATTCTGCTGTCACAAAAGCAAAGATATTCCAAAATAGAATTGGTTTAAGGCACTGGCTTTGTTTCTGTTCTCTTAATTGCTTTATGTTTTTGGCACTGCCTTTGGTGACCGGAAGGGGAGACAGGTGGTGTGGAGCTGACACACCAGCAGAAGGGCCAGCCTGCAGGTCTGTCGGCCCATCTCATGCTGACCTGGGCAAGCCGATGGTGGGTGTCTCTTGCCTTCCAGGACCGTGGTGAGGAGGTGCACGGCCCTGACGTTCATGGCCTCAGAGGAGAAGCTTTTGGTGGCCGACAAGTCTGGGGACGTTTATTCCTTTTCAGTGCTGGAGCCACAGGGATGCGGCAAGCTTGAGCTTGGGCACCTGTCGATGTTGTTGGATGTGGTACGTGGGTGATGGGCCTAATTAAGTCTGCTACAGTCAGCTGGGGGCAGGGGCAGGGGGTCTGATGGGGAGGTGAGGCCAGGGCTGTGATCCCAGCTGTCGGGGTTTGGGTTCTGTAGTAGGGACGGCTCTGCAGGTCTGTGAGCGGGAGTTCGTGAGAATGGAGTTCAGGATGGTGAGGCTGACGGTGAATGTCCCATGGGCCACTTAGGAGGTGGCGGGGTGGCTCTGGAAGTAAGGGATGGCCTGGGTTTGGGTGACGAGGTAGAGGAGGCGTGTGGGAAGGGCAGGCACCATCTCAAGGCCTAAGCTTGTCCTCGTGCTTTACGGGCCTCACTCAGTGTCCTTCCAGCCCGAGCCAGGAGCTGTTTCCCCCGAGAGGCTGGGTGAGGGCTGGGGTGGGACCCGACGAGAGGCCAGGATAACAAGGGAGGGGTTCTTGAAGGACAGCCCCCGAGGACTCCATGACTGGCTGGCCACGGGGACACTTAAAGGAGGAAGGAGAGGAAGGCGAGCAGGTGCTGGAGGCCGAGGGGTGGGGCTGCGTTTAGATGGGTGTCTGGACGAGGCTGTGGCACCGTGTAGACCTGGGGACGGGTCCTGAGGGGGTGGGGGGGGGGGGCCAGCTCTGGCCCCCCCCCCCCAGCAGGTCTGTCCTTTCTAACCCCCGTGTGCAGGCCGTGAGTCCCGACGACCGCTATGTCCTCACCGCCGACCGGGACGAGAAGATCCGGGTCAGCTGGGCCGCGGCGCCGCACAGCATCGAGTCCTTCTGCCTCGGGCACACAGAGTGAGTCCCCTTCCTGCCCGCCAGGAGGAAGCTCAGGCTCGAGGGACAGGTGGGCCGCTCAGCTTGGGCAGCCGGTGGTGAAGCCAGGGCTGCTTGCTCCCTGGCGAGGCCCCATTCGGTGCGGGCTTCTGCCCAGGGGCCGTCAGGACCTCCGCCTCCTCCTTCCCGTCCCTTCCCATGGGTTTCGGGGAGAGGTTTTCTTGTTGGCACTGAGGTCTGACACCCCAGGGCGTGGTCGCCACACACGGTGGTCGTGCTGCCCACGGGAGCCAGCGTAGGGCTCAGTGTGAGAGGCCTTCCCTCTAAGCCCGCCGCCTCCCGCCGTTAGCACTCACCAGTGGTTTCCGTGTTGGGCTCCGGGCGAGGGCTTGTTTCCAGAACACTCCTTCCTCAGCATAGACCCTGTCAGTGCCTACAGTGGTTAGCGGCCGGTAGGGGGGTGAGTGCCGGGGGGAACATACTTCGGTAATTTGAACGTCCAGGACTTATATTGCCTCCGAGCCTGGGCAGTGGTCCTTCCTTTATGACCTTTTTTCTGGCAAGTGAGCTCTCTTTCAGTAACTGAATTTTGATATTTTGCAAGGGAGGCATTTCTGAGGAACACTGCTCTTCTCGGGCTTCTTGGGCTCAAGGCTAATTACAGAGGAGAGGAGAAGCCTTTCGTTTCATTTGCTAAAATGTTTTAACACTGCATTATTGGAGGCAGTGGAACATACTGGAGAGACTTAATTTAATTCTGAGATTGCTCCTTTCCTTGGTTTTGAACGGAATGTAAAGTGATCTCTGAAGGTCGCTGGTGGTCTAGTTTGTAGCTCCGGACGGCTGATGGGGGCTTTGATTCAGCTCTCTAGTAATCCAGCATCCAGACTTATGACCTGTAAGCCCCGTGGCCCTCTCTCCAATGCTGTTTCTCACTGGGGTCTCCTGCTCCCCACCCACCCCCACCCGGCACACTCCTGTCTCAGGGCCTTTGCACGTGCTGTTCTTACTGATGGGCATGCTCTCCCCACAGGACGCTGCACTCTCTTCCACTTCTTCAGTGTCTGGCTAGATGCCACCTGCCTTCTCAGGAAGGCCCCCCCCTTGTCCCACCCTGCTCTCCTTTTCTCCTAGCCTGCACTGTCCAGACAGGAGTCCCGAGTCCTGAAGTCTGAAGTGAGATGTGCCGCGTACAAGACCTGATTTTGAAGATTTCATACAAAAAAAGCCACAAAAACAGCTTGTTACTAATTTTTCATTTAGGTTGTGTGTTAGATAGTAATATTCTGGATAAAGTTAAGGAAGAAGCGTGTCAGTTATTTTCATCTGTGTCTGTTTCTTAACGTGGTCACTTGCAAATGTAAACGGCATGGCCGGCACTGTGTTTATGTTGGGCGGCACCCTTCGAGGCCTCCGCTGGCCCGTCTCCTACCCGTGCCCTGGACAGCGGCCCTTGCAGCTGCGCCCAGTGCTGTCGCCAGCCCTCAGCACCCCTGGCAGGTAGTAGGTGCTCAGGAGGTAATTCCGTGAGTGAATAAGGAGTAAAAGTAGGTGTTTAAGAATCTCGTGTAAAATCTGTGGAAACTGGTTTCTCTCCTTCCTCTTGAGTCGTTGAGGTGACTCACGGCCTCTGTAACGGCCGTCCTGCGTCAGGGGACTGCTTGGGCCATCCGGTCACGGGCATCCCCGGGAGCCATGTGCTAGTGGTCACGTTATCATTGGGAGAGAAGCCGGGAAGGCTGCCCCCCTTGCGGGGCTAGAGGCTGGCTCATAGCCTGCGGTCCCCGGGTGGCCTTCTGGGGACCGCTGGGTGCGGGACTGCCCCGGGGTAAAGGACAGGAGGTCTGAGTCAGTCCGCTGGCCAGTGTTTCTGCTCGCCCTCCGCCCCTGCTCTGTCCTGCAGGTCTCCGCCTGAGGCTTCTTGTCGTCACGGACCTGCAGGGAAGGTCTTGGGCTGTGAGCAGGGCAGCTGGAGTGAGCAACACAGATGTTCATGGATCTTTCCAGTAGCGTGGCTGGGGCCCGCTCCTGCTTGGGGGTTGTGGCTGTTGGGGCCTGGAGAATGGCACGGTGTGCTCCTCATGCTTGCTCAGTGCTGTCTAGCTACACGTGGGAGCCATGGCAGTTTTTGTTGGGGGTCAGGGGTTTGGGGGGAGAAGGCTTCTCTCTGAGATGACAGATGGCCTAAGCAGACGTCACAGCAGCTCCCTGGAACTCGGCTCCCCCTTTGCTTCTCTTTGCCCTGTAGGTTTGTGAGCCGCATCTTCGTGGTGCCCGACCACCCCGAGCTGCTATTGTCCTCCTCTGGGGTAAGTGCTTCGCTCTGCCTTGTGCGCGTCTGGGTGCCTTTCAGCAGGGGAGCCACGTGGGGGGATGGGTCTGCCAGCCACGAGCTCTTTTGTTCCCAGTTGTGGTTCTTTGACTTGGTGGCTGTCCACTAGATGGTGCTTGTTTTCCGAATTTTGGAGCTGCCTGTGGCTGGCTTCTTGCTTAGGGCCGTCCATTCAGGAGCCACATCTGTAACAGCATCGTGATCTCTGTTTTAGCAGTCAGGTGGGAAGGTGGGAATACCCCTTCTGAATTCCAGGGGACCTGGGTTCTATCCAGTTACTGCTGTGCTTGCTCTTCACCCCAGGGCCTCTGATTGGTAACGAAAATTTCTATGTCCTGGCAGTTGGGGCTCGAAGCCTTGGTGGTTTAGTGATCAGAGACTTGGCTCTAAGGAATAATCTTTAAAAGGTTCATTAAACTGTAGTTTTTGCTAAAGCAAAGGGTTTGAATTACTCATGGTGTCTCATTTTTTTCTTTTTTTCTATAAGCTCTGTTCTGTTCCTCCTCCTGTCTTTCCTGCCCCTTAGTGTTCTATGGGACTCAGGTGCCTGGCAGTGGGAGGTGGGGGGGGGGGCTGCACGGGAGGCGCCTGAACCTCCTAAGAGTTAGGGTTTCTGGGTGGGAAGAGCGGCCTCCCTAGCGTCCCGCAGACATCTGGCCACTGTCTGTGTGTGTTTCGTGCCTTCGCCACGTTTGTGTGCTCACAGTTTCTGCTGTCCCGTGTCCTGTTCTTCACAGCAGTGCGTGGCCCTGCAATAGCAAACAAGAAAATAGATATGGCTGGAGTCCCCAGAGGTGGCCCGTTTTTGTGAATTTTGCTGTACCTATGCCTTCCAGTCTTTTTCATGATAAAAAAAAATATTCAAGCTGCTAGAAAAGTAAAATGAACACCTTTGATTTTAGCACTAGCTTGGCAAGTTCGGGCATTTTGCCTGTGATCTGTTTGAAGATGTAGGAGGGATAGTTCTTGAGCAGCGGGGGTGCGTTGCCCGCCGTGTGCCCCACACCTTGCAGAGTGTGCTTTTCATTTTCATTAGAAGCACTGTACTTGTAAAGTGAAATTCTGCTGTTAGGCCTACAGGAAAATGGCTGTGGCTCCCAACGCCCCTATAAGGTGAGCCCTTGGGCCTCACAGCCTTCTTAATGGCCGCCCCGTGTGTACAGAGAACTTGAGCAATCGAGAAACAGGAACATGCATTTTCTGTGTGCTCTCCCGCCCTCTATGTGCCTGTTGTCGCCTTTCCTGGTGGGCTGCACCTCCGGTAGCACCCCCACCCCCATATTCATATTCATCCTCTCTGTGTCCGTGTCTGTCTGTCTGTCTCTGTCTCTTCTGTGTTTCGGAGCAGTGCCTCTGAAGGTGGAGGGAGGGTGTTGTCATAAGGCTGCTGTCCTGGGTCCTGGAAGTGCCCTTTAACCCCAATGACTGGTGGGTGGGCAGGTAGGTATAGAGCTCAAGGTGAGAGTTCCTCCCAGGGATTTGGAAGGCGAGGGGCCGGTGTTTTCTCTGGTTGGTTTCTGTACTTGGCTTTCTCCCCACTTTCACTTGAAAAGTCTGAGGCCGTTCTGAGTTTGGGTCCTTTCGGTGGGATCCGTTCCCCCTTTCCTGGACATTTTGGGGGCCTTCTTGCTCCTGTGCTCTGAAGTTGGGGGAGATGGGGGCCGGGCGCTGGAGGCCAGCTTGCAAGGTCAGTGGCCCCTGCGATTCAAGGTTCTTGGTACCGGGGGTGTTCTCACTCGGGCGCTTCTCCTTGAATCTGTGTAGTGGGATGTTGGGCTCTGTTGGTTGCCTGCTTCTTTTTCTTTCCTCTGGCCTCTGTCTCATGTCCTACTTCTGCTTTTTGGAACAGCGTCCTGTGGGGATTTCATTTCTGCTGTTCCTGGTAATTGTTAGGAGCTTTTTCTTGTCCTCCGAGTGTCCTTTTCTTTTTTCTTTTTCTTTTTTAAGATTTATTTATGTGACAGAGAGACAGAGAGAGAACGCGCGAGCACAAGCAGGGGAGCGGCAGAGGGAGAGGGAGAGGCAGGCTCACCCGGCAGAGAGCCCCGTGCGGGGCTCGAGCCCAGGGTCCTGGCCCCGTTGGTGTTGGTCCTGAGTGCAGGATCTTCGACCTCCCTGAGCTCGTGTGTATGTTTCCTTGCCCCTGTGTGGCGTCCACCTTTCCTAGTGGAGGTTTCCTGCGGATGTCTGGTGGTTGCATCTGTCCATGTGTGATGGGGACAGGGTACTGACCAGCATGGTGGAGGCTGTCTCTGGGAGCCCAGGGTGTTGGAGTCGGGCACCCACAGGCCATCTGGACCAGCCCTTCTGGTGGCTACCTGGCTCAGTCTACACCTTTCTGGGCGTCGGGCCTGTCCCCATGTTCCGGGAGGTGACTGGGGAGGGCCGGTGGTGCCCCTTGGCAGGGATCTGGAGTCCCTAAGACTGCGGTCTCTCGCCCCCTGGCAGCAGACGGTGAACCCGCGGCTCTGCAAGCCGCAGGGGCGGGGAGTCCGGCCGCGCTGACTGCCCCCGGGGTGGCCATGCTGCCGCGGGCCTGCTGGGCCCGGCCGCTGTGTGGTGGCCGCCTGCGGCCCGGCCCCCCGCCTCCGTCTGCTCCCAGGCGGCCTTGCCTCCTCACGTCTCTGTCCTCAAGGCCTCACGCTTCGGGAACATCCCTTTCCCGTCCCTGCAGAGGGAGGTCGGGTCGGGGTGAGCGGGCCTTTGCCTCCGTGTTTGTCTGTAGCTTCCTGGCAGGTGTTCGTGCTCCTGCCCAGTACCCGCACACCCTGGCTCTTACACTTTGGGGGAATTGCTCTTCTTTTCTCCCAGTCATTTAGGAACTCCGCGTGGGCTGTGTCGATGCCGTCTCGTTGGTTTGCTCAGAATCTGGGCTTCACGTGCACATGGGCCTGTGCACGCCTGTTGTCAGTGATGGGCTCTGGTGCACGGGGTGGGGGTCCGCGGGATGGGGGTCCCCGGTGTGCCGGCCGAGCGGACGAGCCAGCTAGGCTCTGTTTCCCTCCCTGTGTGTCCTGAGTGTTTCCAGATACGCAGTTCTTTCTACGTCCTGTCCTTCTAGTGAGATCTGTGACGAGCAGTTGTTAATACGAGCTCTCTCGTGTTGATGCTTATTTTTGGAGCACTGAGGCTCTCGGTACACATGCCAGTTTCCTTATCTGCGCCAGTTGACAATCTCACGGGTAACAGGCGGACGCCCACTTTTCACCCCTTCCTGAACAGGGAAGCGGGACAGTTGTCGTGCTCAGCAGCCCCACCCACGTGTCTCCTGTGCAATGTGTGACCCTTGAAGCGTGCGTGTGTGTGCGCGCATGCCCACGCGCGTGTGTATCCTCCTGGCGCGAGTAGGGCAGCCGTGGTCTTTGACGTCCTACACGTGAATGAGGCAGGTTGTCTCATGTCTTCTGCCCGTTCTGCCGTGTGGGGGTCACGGGTGTTTTGCTAACGACTGGAGTGGCTGCACAGTCATCCCTCAGAACAGAGCGCTGTGGCGCTGGCTGCCGCTGAGCAGTATGCCAGCCCCTGCCGGAAGCCCCCACACTCAGAGGCTGGCCTGCCCCCCACGCACGCATGCTGACCTGTCTGCGCTGTGTGCAGGACCGCACCCTGAGGCTCTGGGAGTATCGGAGTGGCCAAGAGCTGCACTGCTGTCACCTGACCAGCCTGCGGGAGCCGGCGGAGCCGTGGGCCGACAAGGTAACATCACGCTTCTGTCTCGGGTTTGTTGGGGCTTATAGGGCACCTCTTCAGTCACTGGGATCCTGCGAACAAAACCACTTTTGTGCTGGAAACATTTTTTTGCCGTCAGCACAGACGTCTTCCAGCTTGGGAGAGATCGTGTACTTCAAACTCTAAAGGTGTTCAGTCCTGTAAGTGGGAAATAACTTCTGTCGCCTTATTTGTGTTTGGACAACCACGGTACAGAAATGCCTCCTCCAGTCCTGCTTGGAAATGGAAAAGAGAGTGGTGCTTGAGCAGAGAGCTTCTCCAGGGGTTTATAGCCAGTCAGGGAGCTGAGCGCCCTTCCTGCATTTCTCCCTTTGCCTGTCATGGGTCAATCTCGATGACCACTCTCTTACCCCTGGGACCCCACACCAGCCAGTGTGTCCCCAGGTCAGGTCACCTGGGCCTTTGATTGTGAGAGATTTTCCAGGGAAAATATCTGGGTTGCCTTTTGGGGGTACTCTGGATTCTGTCGCCGTGGACACCTAGCTCTGTGATGCTCCTGGGCTCATGCCCTGCACGGCTGAGGTCCAGGTTGGTCACCTGAGGATGGCCCCACCCGTTTTCCTATAGAGGCCCCCCTGGGCCTGGCAGGGAGGGAGCAGTCTGCTGACGTGGCTCTCCAGACCTGCAGAGCTGGCCCTCTCGGTGGTTTCTTGATGACCAGGTGTCCTCGCTGTTATCAGGGGAGCTTTGCATTTTCCCCGGGAGCCCCTGTGTGGCCCCTGGCCAGCCCGCAGGAGACCTGGGCCAGAGTTGAGGGGCTCATCTGCCTCATCCTCGGGTTGGCTGCTCTCTCTCCTCCCCCCTGAGACTGCTCTGTAGCCACTGCCCTTACTCGGCCTCAGAAGTGGGCAGGCCAGGCCCGACCATGGGCCAGAGCCTCAAGGACCCTGGGGCTGTGGCCACCCAGCCAAGTGGCTGCCTGGGCCCCCAGGTCAGCAGACTCTGCTGCTCCGGCTGCTGGCTCGCGGCGCCTCTTGCGTGGGTGTCTGCAGTCCTGCTGCTCCCCCACCCCGAGCCCATGGTGCAGGGATACCTGATTTGTTCTAGTAACTTTTTCACATTCATGCTCTCACTTAACCTCCTGGTGCTCAGGGATAGTGAGGTTGACTTTGGTCTCTTTCTCCGAGGTCGGGGTTGGGAGTGTGAGGCAGAGAGGGAACCATGAACCAGCAGGTGTCTGACCTCGGGCCTGGCACCCATAGGCTGCACGAGCTGTGGATGGCCCTGCCCCTTGGGTTCCTCGTTTCCTTCTCAGGAGCCCTCAGGGGCATGGCCCCTGCCCCTCGGGCTGGGCTTGGTGAACATCAGCCCCTTTCTCCCACTTCTCCTGACTGGCATCTGGATGGTCCCACTTCGGGATGTGTGGACTTTGCACACGTAATTGTGTCTTGTTAATGATCCCTTGGGTTCTTTGTCACCTCCTGTCCTTGCTTCTCGACCAGTCTGTTGGCTTTGGAGACATTGAGGGAAGGCCAGAGCCACAAGAGAGGCTTCTATCTGCCGTGGTATGTTGGAATTGTGAAACGGGTAGTTTGCTATGCTTTCTTTTCTCGGATTTCCAGAAAGTTCCAAGACTGGTTTCTTGTTTTCCTTCCTTGACCGTAGTGGCAGCTGTCAAGACCTTGCTGTGTCTGATCTCACTTTGAACAGAACAGTCCCGAGTCGGGTCCCTGACAGGCTAACGTGCTGTTATGTTACTGCTTTTCCTTGCAGAGGTTCGCCACATCCAGGATCACTTACTGGTGCCAGGAGGGCTGCGTGGCACTGCTGTGTGACTGGTGGGTGAGCTCACGTGCTGGCGGCTTTGCTTCAGGGTCCCACACACCTGCCGTATGGGAGGGAATAACATGGGTGGTTCCATTGACCCCGTGGGCTGTCTCCTTGTTGGGAGGCTTTAGACGCTTTTATTTGTACAACCTGTCCCTGCAGTGAGTTTCACTCTGGGAGGATGGCTGTTGCCTGAGGGGTGTGGGTTCCTTTCCTTAGAGTGGAGTGGCGCTCTTTTACTTGCTGTTTATATTCACTGGTCTCCAGTTGGTCTTTATGCACGATAAAGTCCCACCTGAGGGTGAGAGCAAAGTTGTAGAATACGCTTCAGTCAGCCCCACCCGAGGGCTGGTCCCGATAGAGCCCGCACACCTGACCTGGGGCAGGTCACAGTAGGACCCACCCGAGGGCTCGTGGTGTTGAGGAGGAGGATTTCGGGAGTGCATGCCACCCAGCGGGTTCTGGAGCGTTGTTTATGTGCTGGGTAGGTATCCGGTGTTTCTGCCCGTCTAGTTTGTCCTCACAGCAAGCCTGCAGAGGGCATCTTAGTTTGTTTTAAAATAAGGATGCAGGTTTAGAGCCAGGAGGCGCCTGCACCCAGTGCCCAGCGCCGTCTGCTACTGTAGCTGGGACAGTCCCCCCTCCCCCACGACTTGTTCCTTTGTCCTGTACCGGCTCCCTGTCATAGTGGGACCAGCTAACCTGGAGCTTACTGACTTAGACCTTTATATGATGTCTCGGTTCCTGTGGCTCTTGGGTTGGGTGTATCTGGCTGAGTCTCGTGGGCTTAGAGTCACGATGGTGGTGGTGGCTGGGTCTTGTGTTTGGGGCAGAGCCGGGCACAGTGCTGAGCTGCTCTCTGTTGTCCAGTGATACCCACATGGGCCTCGTGGTAGTTGTAATAATTTTTCTCTCTTTCTTTGCGGAAAGTATTCCTGTTGTGTACATCTTCCAGCTCGATGCCCACAGACAGCAGCTGGGTTACAGACAGCAGCTGGCTTTTCAGCACAGAGTGTGGGACATTGCTTTCGAGGAGGGCCAGGGACTGTGGGTCCTGCAGGACTGCCGGGAAGCCCCCCTTGCGCTCTGCAGGCCTGTGGACGGCTGGTGGCAGGTAAGACGTGTTGGGCCTCTGCTGCCCCTAAGCCTGGGGTGGGGGTGGGGGGGCAACAGCTGTGCCCACTTTCAGCTTGATCATGTCTTGGTGCTTGGGGCTGCGTCCTTGGGGGGTGGTGGCCAGAGGACTTGTGCCGGGGGTTCAGGGAGCAGGGGTGCCCGGCCAGCTCATCTAATGTCATGATGCTTGCAGTGTTTCTTTGCGGGATAGTCTCCCTCATAGGCCTATTTTTTCTTGTGATTGTCCTGGTCACACATCTTTTTAGCAGAGAAACCAGCAGTTGGTGTGATTTGGCTCTGTGTCCTTGACGTTGGTAGGCTTAGCATGGCCTTGTATCTGGGGCATGGAATCAGGAGTAGAGAGGCATGTGGGCTGTGGGCTGAGCGAGCCTCTCCTCCCTGGGTGACGTGCGAACCTTAACCCCTTCTCTGAGCTGCCTCCCCTGTCTGTAAAGCGGGGCTGTCCCCTGCCTGTCTGGGATCTCCTGCGACACTGGGGGGAGGGGATCCGATGAAGCCCACCAGAGCACTGTGCAGATTGTCTCGTCCTTTACACGTGCTCACTTGACTGAGGGCTTTGGTGGTGCCCCTGAACCTTTTGGGTATTTTTGTCTAAAAAGTAGTGGTGACCAGAATGCCACTAGGTGGTACGTGTCCCCTGTTGGGCTCCTCAGCCAATGGTACGAGGACGAGCCGGCGTGTGGACCCCTGGCAGCCCATACATCGTGGGTCTTTGTCATGACGTGATATGGTGACTGCTGTGTCTGTCGCAGCAGGATGGCTGGCCAGCTTTGCCTGGTGCTCCCGAGGGCCTGGCAGCCTGGACCACGCCCGGCAGGTCTGGGGTGCCTCTGGCGGCGGCGCTGGGGCTGTAGTCCTGTGTCTTTCTGATAAGCGTTTTCCGTTTGTCTTCTCAGGCTGTTCCTGAAAATGCCGCCTTAAAGAAGGTCTCCGCCTGTCTTCGGGGGAATTGGGCCATGCTGGAAGGTGAGTGTGTGCACGGCCTGCTTTTTGGGATGATGTCCAGAATTGGCCACGGACAGGGCCAGCTTACAGGATACCATACACAGTAGGAAGCCACTTCTGTGGGCGAGAGTCCAGGATGTGTGGCGTGTGCCTGTATCCCCGTCCACAAGGGCGGCAGCTGGTCGGGCACTGAGGAGCTGACCCGCACCTGGGCAGTCCGTGTCAGGATGATTGAGCTTCATGGGAACCAGGGTCAGAGTTGGAGTACTGTCCACCTCTCTGCCATCAGGGCTGTGTGTCGCAGGTCCCCTGGGAGGGGCTGGTAGTGGTGGGCCTCCAGGTGGAGTGGCAGAGCGATTCACGGGCCCTGGATATTGGCTCTGAGCAACCACACGTGTGTGTGTGGTTCCTGGCCACGAAGTCAGGTGTGGAGACAAACAGTGGACTGCCTGTGGGTCTCCGTGGGCCAGGGTGGGTCCCAGTAGGAACACCAGGCCAAGGGAAGAGGAGAGGCAGTAGTGGGAGGGCAGGACCCCTCCCCCGCCCCCCGCCGCCTTGTGGTGCTGCAGTCTGTGAGGGTGGCCAGGCGATCAGAGCCACGTGGTCCTGGTCAGCGGAAGGGCCTAAGGTGAGCGCTGGGTGCTGCCCTCACTTAGTCCTCCTGTCTGAGAACGTCAGAATGAGGAGATCTTGCTCCATTTTCTTTTTCTTAAAAGATTTTATTTGAGAGAGCGAGTGAGTGCACGAGAGAGAGAGCATGAAGGGGGAGGCAGAGGGAGAAGCAGGCTCCCCGCTGAGCAGGGAGCCCGATGCGGGGCTTGATCCCAGGACCCTGGGACCATGACCCGAGCTGAAGGCAGACGCTTAACCGTCTGAACCACCCAGGTGCTCCGACCTCATTCCATTTGTCTCGGTAGAGGAAGGCAAACCTTTAGTTACGCAGCCTCTAGCGACCCCGTGATGCTCTTCTTGGGCAGATTTTTGAAGCATCTGTCAGAAGGATGAATGGTGACCCAGCATTGGGAGTCAGACTCCTTCATTTAAGTACACAAATTATTGTCCAGAAGACATCTTTCAAAAGTATTCCCCAGGGAGAAGTCAGAGTTCCTCGGAATTCAGGACATTCAAACATAAATTCCGTTTCTGTTGACAACTAGCAGTGATCTAAACGTCTCATGGAAGGCATTCTCGAGGTGATTTGTTGGTTCTGAGTTCCAGGGTTAATTTCCTTCCTTTTAGGGTGGAGGGACTAGGGCGGTGACAGGGCTCCGTCCTCCCCAGCACTGTATGCATTTGCTTCAGCAACACTGTCGAATGGATCCATGGCAGGACTGTGTCAGGGACACTAGTGAGCCTGCTCCCCACCTGGCACATGCCGTCCTCCCTGCCGGGGCCTGGGGCCAGCATGCCTTGCTGTGGATTCCCCGGGAGGGCCAGCCCGGGGCAGGCTTAGCTTCCCTGAGCTTCTGCAGATAAAACAGCCCGTTCACAGCGCAGGGGTGGGGGAAGGTGCAGGGGGAGAGAGCGTGGGGAAGGCGGGCCAGCTGAGCTTGAAAGTCATAGGAGGGGTAGGGAAGCCGGAGCGAGTGGGAGGTCACCGTGCAGGGCACAGGCGGGCACATTGCCGATGGTCCCTGTGGAGTTTCTGGCCAGGTTGAGGTCGATCCCGTGGGGCTGGTCTGTGGTCATCATGCCCCTGAACTCTTGACATTTAGATCAATCCTCATCTGTTACATTGCTGGGTAACAAGTAACCTGCCCTCAGTGGGTGAAAACAACGCCACTTTTTATCTCGCTGTTTCTGTGGGTCCTGAGGCTTAGTGTCCCAGCGCAGTCCTGAGAGGACCACTTCCCCGGGGGTGAGGTCTGATTCCAGGTGCACGAGCAGTTGTTGGCGGCGTGCTGGTCCCTGCAGGCTGCTGGGCCGAGGGCCTCACTCCCTTGCTGGCTGTTGGCCGGAGGCCGCCCTCAGTCCCCAGCACAAGGGCCCCTGTGGGGCGGCTCTCAGCGTGGGGGCAGCTCCACCAGCACGACCGTGCAGGCCACAGCCCTTGTGCCTCGTCTCCCAGCGGTGACCCGGCTCTGGTGTGTTAGAAGCAGTTTTAGGTCCGGCTGCGTGACCACCAGGAGATGGGCCTCGCGGGCGCGCCTCGGAACGGGCGGTGCAAGTCTCCCGGGAGCCCCCGCCGGCCCGGGTCCCGCCGGCCCACTGGTTCCCGTCCTACCTGGGTTCTGTCCTCGTTCCTCTCGTGCAGGTGTGGCCGGCGTGGACGTGGGCTTCAGCGGTCTCTACAAGGCCACCTTTGACAACGTGACGGCCTACCTGAGGAAGAAGGAGGAGAGGCTGCAGAAGCGGCGGCAGAACCCGCCCCCGGGGCCCAATGGGCAGGCCAAGAAGACGAAGCCAGGGGAGGCGTCCCTGAGGTGCTCGTCCTAGCTGCGCCGAGTGCGCTCGCCCCCTCCCGGCCGGAGGCCCCCTTTAGGAGGCAGAAGGGGGATGTCGCTTCCGACCCACGCTTGGTGACAGTCCGGTCCGCACCAGCTCAGCACACACGTGGGCCGTCCCGGAGAACGGGTGGGTGTCCTGGGCTCTAGAACTTTCTTCCACTGTGCAGAGGCTCCCCTGCCTGGCGTCTTGGGCGCCCCCTGGCTGAAGGGAAGCCATGCTGCGTGTGACTCAGCTAGAGAAACTACAAGTGAGTAGTGCAAGTGCCTGGAAGCACTGTTTCTTCATGTTGGAGGAAATCGGAACACGCTGTGGTGGCTGTCGGTGTTGCACTGTTCCCGTAACGCTGGACGCCTTTTCCTCCGGCAAGATGTACATGCCGAACATGTTTGTGGCAGTGTGATAGACACGCTCTGTCCCCGGGTCTCCCTCTGGACGGTGTCCTGCGCTGTCCGACACGGGGGCCGCTGGCCATGGGGTGGAGGACTCCGTTCCTCCGTCAGCACCTGTGTTGCCCCCGTGCTGGCTCCCTGCGTGGCGAGAGGTGCCCGCTCAAGAAGTGCGGCTGCTGCCGATGTGATGCGGGCTCGGTGGGGGCGCAGGGCCCAGCCTCGGCTTCTTTCGGGGTGTGCGAGGACCCGGGAGCCCTGGCTGTAACGGAGTTCTGCAGGGAAATGGTCGAGGCCGTCACGCGCGGGTGTGATTTTCCTGTGAGCTCCGTGCACACGATGCAGACACCGGGGGTGTCAAGCGAATTCTAATCACTGCTCAATAAAGATGAGCTCGTGCAGCTTCTGGACACGTGTAGCCCCAGCATCGGGAACTGATTTCAAAATACACTGAGCAAAACCGTTTTTGATGCGTGCACTGTTTGTGACTGAAACGTTGACCCCCTAAAATGGAGAAGCATTTCTTTGGTGGTTGGGCTTCGTAGTTGCCTCTGCTGCTTTGGTTATCTGTGCTTCTGCCCGCTTCCCAGTGAGTGGTCTCGAATACGGGAAACCCGTGTGTGTCCGCGATGACCTCGGTGAGGGGTTTTTTGGGATACGAGAAACAAATGCTTTTGTGTATCAGAAGTGAGAATGCTTTAGCTTTTCCTAAGTGCCTTGTTTTGCTGTACACATCGATCCGAAAACAGTGCTGTGTTTGAACTGCTCAGGGTCCCTTCCCACAAGGGCAGAAGTGTTTTGTTCAAGGAGCAGAGGGGGTGTGCCTGGGGCAGGACGGGGTGCTGGGGCCCACCCAGGTCCTCCTGGTAGGAACCTCGTTAGCACTGCCCTGGGCACAGGCAGAGTTCTCTTTGACAATCTGCTTTGAAATTCTTGGCTTTAGGAGAAACTTAGGTTTGGTCTTTTTGGTGTCTTGTAAAGTGGCCTGCAGGCCTGGTTTTGTACGGCCTATGAGCTTGGAATGGCTTTTATGTTTTTAAATGGTTGAAAACAAATCAAAAGAAAAAAAGTATTTCACGGTGTGTGACAGTCATATGCAATTCAAATTCCAGTGTCCTTAAATAAAATTTTAGTGGGACACAGCCAGCCTGTTTGTTAGGTACCATCTCCGTCTGTTTTGTGCTCTAGCAGCAGAGTGGGCCAGTTGCCACAGAGACCAAATGGCCGGCAGAGTCCAAGGTATTTATGCTCTAGCTCTCACGGAGAAGTTTGTCAATCCTTCCTTAAGATCCCTTTTAAATATGTGTAGTGTGTTTTTTTTTTTTTTTAGGATTCTATGTATTTATTTGAAAGAGAGAGACACAGCGAGAGAGGGAACACAAGCAGGGGGGCTGTGAGAGGGAGAAGCAGGCCTCCCGCTAAGCAGGGACCCCAATGCAGGGCTCGATCCCAGGACCCTGGGATCATGACTTGAGCCGAAGGCAGATGCTTAACGACTGAGCCACCCAGGCGCCCCATTAAAAGACAGAACAAACCCTATTCTTCTGTGTTCACGTTGATCTTCTTTCTCACCAAACGTTCATTCGTGTTCTCTGCGGGCAGATGTCTTTGTAAAACAGGGCCAGGTTGGGAGGGGTCCCTGGGTCTCCTGGCTGGAGCTGGGGGGTGTGTAAGGCGGGTCCTCTTGCACTTAATGGTGAGACTCAAACATGCCTATCAGTACGAGGCTGTGCCGAGCAGCCCATCAGGATCAGAACGGAGTAGGAGGGGGACCACGGGCATCACCATCTTTCCTGTGGTTGCTTTCAAATTGCTTTCGTTCTTTTTTTTTTTTAAGATTTTATTTATCTGACAGAGGGACACAGCCAGAGAGGGAACACAAGCAGGGGGAGTGGGAGAGGGAGAAGCAGGCTTCCCGCGGAGCAGGGAGCCCGATGCGGGGCTCGATCCCAGGACCCTGGGACCATGACCTGAGCCGAAGGCAGACGCTCAACGACTGAGCCACCCAGGCGCCCCTGAATTGCTTTCATTCTTGTCACGGTCACACGTGCACGTGATGGAGACCGAACTCTCTTGGCCAACCAGTTGTGACAGTGACCCGCTCTGTGCCCTTCTCCCCATCCCCATTCTGTCTCCCACCTGCTGCTTTCAGCTCGTTTCTCGTGTTCATCGTGGTACAGCCCACGTCCTCCGCGAGCCCCAGGACTGCTGACAGCAGAGATCACGCCGGCCGATGGGCCGTGCTCTGTTGGCCCGTCGGCGCCTCTGTCCTGTCTGTCTCAGGGCACGCCGACTCGGGCCCGGCCGCAGGCGGGGGTGGGAGGAGGGAGCACGGCACCCCCTGCCACCGCAGCAGCCTTCCCGGGGGGCGGCACCTGTTTGGGGCAGAAGTGGCCTCCTGGTCCCGAAACCCTGTCCATGCCTCTGGGATGAGTCCCTCCCTAAGGTGAGGGAGCCGTGTTCTCGGGGACCCTGACTGGTAACTAGTCCATACCCGGAGGCCCCCAGCTGCCTCAGACGTTTTTTTTTTCGGTTGGTCGCTCTGAACCCCGACCTGTGATGACCGCTCGCTGTGTTTGGAGGCTTTTACGTCTCATGCCCACTTTCTCCCGTGACTGACTCGCTGAGCTCAAAGCAGAGCCTTTTGTTTGTGGTTTCATAGCTGCTGACCAGCTATGGGAGCCAAGGATTGAGCTTCCTCACACACCTCTTTATTTAATTTTACTTACCTCCTATTTTCCGTTTTTTCTTCGTTTTTGTGTGTTTTACATTTTGGGGAGATTCCTTGGGTCTGTTTCAATTCATTTATTTAGTTTTTGAAAGATTTTAAGTGAGCTCTATGCCCAACATGGGGCTCGAACTTATAACTCTGAGATCAAGAGTCACACGCTCTACCGACTGAACTGGCCAGGTGCCCTCCAGCACATGTGTTGACTTAAAAACTCTGGTTGTCGTGGGGCGCTTGGGTGGCTCACTCAGTTGGATAAGCATCCGACTTTTGATTTCGGCTCCTGTCACGATCTTGGGGTCGTGAGATGGAGCCCCGTGTCGGGCTCTGTGCTCAGCAGGGAGTCTGCTTGAGATTCTCTCTCTCCCTGTCCCTCTGCCCCTCCAGTCGCACGCGCCTGCATGCGTGAGCACTCACGTGTGTGCACCCTCTCTAAATAAATAAAATCTTTTAAAATCTGGTTGTCCTGTTTCTTAATTTTCAGCATGTTCTTGGTCTGCATGCATTTTGATGTAGCTACAGCTGGAAGGTGCATGTAGAATGCACCAACTAGACGGCCACCAGCTGAATGCACGTGTGTGCCGTGCCCACCAGAAACAGCTGAGGGGCACCTCCCCCTACTCCCCCAGGCCAGGCCAGCAGGCGGCTTGCCTTGTGTTGCTTCAGGCCACTTTGGCTCAGCTCCTCTGGTGACAGTCATCTGCACTGGGGCTTCAGGTGCTAGATGGTTCGCTCTAGTTGCGTAGTGTTCCCACAGCAGCATGTCCGTTCTGTCAGTGCGCTTTGGAATAGTTTCCAGATTTTGGCTGCGGTGAACATTCTGGTCCTTAATATGTAAACATTTCTGTTAGGTACCTACTGAGGAGAACTGCTGGCTCTTAGTTCTGTAGATGTTTCGTCTCGATGGTACTGCCTGGCCTTGTTACTTCAGACCCTCCGCTGTGGACTGTAAAATTCGGTGCGTTCTCAACACTCAGCATTTGGGTGGTGGTGGTGTTCAATTTTGCAAAGGCACAAACTCGGGAGTTATGGCCCTGGGGTGTGGGAGCCGGTGAAGCTGCCCACCTCGCGTCCAGACTGGAATTTGATCTTGTTCTCTGCAAGGGCACCTTAAAGAAACGCTTGGATCCCCCGCTCTGGGGGGCTGTCAGCCACAGGCGATGAGGATGCTCAAGCAGCCCGTGAAGAGGCTGACAGGGCCAAGGAGCCGAGGTCTCTTGCTAGTAGCCAGCATCGACTGGCCGGCCTGAGCGAGCCGTTCCGGAGGCGCCTCGCTCTGATGCCGATCTAGAACGCTGTTGAGTTTCCTACGGCACTTGCCTGAACCCTGGATGTGTTGACATATGTTTTTCTAACTTCCCTTGTGATTTCTTTGATCTGCGGATTATTTGGAAGTGTCGTTGAGTTTTATAAACATTGAATTTTTCCGGATTTTTGTTGTTACGGATTTCTTGTTTTAATTCCATTGTGGTCTCAGAGTATACTTTGATATCACTCCTTTTAGATTCGTTGAGCCTTGTATGCCATACGGCACGGTGGTTATCACGCACATACTTGACAGGCGTGCGTGTTCTGTAGTTGTTGGCCGGAGGGTGCTCACGTGGCGTGGTTGGGTCCAGTTGGTGATGGTCTTGGTTGTCCTTAGCTGGACGAACACTGTCGTCCTCCGGATTTTTGTGCTCTTCTATCGATTACTGAAATCCGTATTTAAATGTTAAGTGTGGGTTTGTCTAGTTTTCTGTGTCCCACTGGGTTTTGCCTCATATATTTAAAAATTCTGACATTAGTGCCTCCTCACGGAGGAATGTGACATCATCTTGTTGAACGACCTCTTCACGGTTATGAAACGTCCCTTTTCATCCCTAGGTCTGTCTTGTTCTCAGGTTTGGATGATTGATGCTAACACAGACGCACATTTCGTCAGTGAGTGTTAGTGGGGCCTCTTTCCCACCCCTTTGCTTTTCTCCGATGTGTGGATTTATATTTAAAGGGGGTTTGTTGGGGCGCCTGGGTGGCTCAGCCGGTTAAGAGTGTGTGACTTCCACTCAGGTCATGATCCCGGGGTCCTGGGATTGAGCCCCATGTCGGGCTGCCTGCTCAACGGGGCGTCTGCTCCTCCCTCTCCCTCTGCCCCTCCCTCCTGCTCTCTCTCTCTCTCTCTCTGTCTTGCTCACACACTCTCTCAAAGAAAGAAATAAAATCTTAAAAAAAAAAAGTGGGTTTGTTGCAGACAACATGTTTTTATGTCCAAAATACTGGATTTCAGTGCAAAAACGACCTGAGCCACATAAGTGATTTAGAAATTTCCAGTAGTCACTCTGAAAATTTTCTAAAAAGCAGGTGAAATTAATTTTGAGAATATAGTTTATTTCACTGAACACAGCAAAAATATTTCAACATGGGCTTTATATAATTCCTCATGAACTATTTTATTTTCTATTTCTAATGTTAATTGTTGGAAATCTGGTGTGTATTTCATGCCCTAGTACCCTTCCAGCTTTGATGAGCCGCGTCTCAATGCTTGGTGGCCCTGCCTAGCCGGTGGTGTTCCAAGGGGACATAGGCCATTTATGTGCAGTTAACCTTCACTGCTGTGGGGTCTGCTGTCATCTTGTCTCTTGTTTTCTCCTTGTCCCGTGCATTTTGTTGCCTTCTCTTCTTTCCCAGCTTCCTTTGGTATGAACCGAATGATTCTTTGATATCCCATTTTATTGCACTCTTGGGTTTATTAACTATA